TAGAGTGAGTGGTGTGTTGAAGTCTCCCAGAATGAATGCATTGCATTCTATTTCCTCCTTTAATTCTGTTAGTATTTGTTTCACATATGCTGGTGCTTCTTTGTTGGGTGCACATATATTTATAATGGTTATATCCTCTTGTTGGACTGAGCCCTTTATCATTATGTAATGTCCTTCTTTATCTCTTGTTACTTTCTTTGTTTTGAAGTCTATTTTCTCTGATACTAGTATTGCAACACCTGCTTTTTTCTCCCTGTTGTTTGCTTGGAATATCTTTTTCCATCCCTTGGCTTTTAGTCTGTGCATGTCTTTGGGTTTGAGGTGGGTCTCTTGTAAGCAGCATATAGATGGATCTTGTTTTTTTATCCATTCTATTACTCTGTGTCTTTTGATTGGTGCATTCAGTCCATTTACATTTAGGGTGATTATTGAAAGATATGTACTTATTGCCATTGCAGGCTTTAGATTCGTGGTTACCAAAGGTTCAAGGTTAGCTTCTTTAGTATCTTACTGCATAACTTAACTCACTTATTGAGTTATTATAGACACTGTCTGATGATTCTTTATTTCTCTCCCTTCTTATACCTCCTCCTCCATTCTTTATATGTTGGGTGTTTTATTCTGTGCTCTTTTGTGTTTCCTTTGACTGCTTTTGTGGGTAGTTTATTTTATTTTTTGCCTTTAGTTAGTATTTGGTTGGTCTTCTTTCTTTGTTGTGATTATATTTTCTATGGTGACATCTGTTTAGCCTTACGAGTACTCCCATCTAGAGCAGTCCGTCTAAGATACCATGTAGAGGTGGTTTGTGGAAGGTAAATTCCCTCTTCTTTTGCTTGTCTGGGAATTGTTTAATCCCTCCTTCATATTTAAATTATAATCGTGGTGGATACAGTATTCTTGGTTCATAGTCCTTCTGTTTCATTGCATTAAGTATATCATGCCATTCTCTTCTGGCCTGTAAGGTTTCTGTTGAGAAGTCTGATGATATCCTGATGGGTTTTCCTTTATCCTTTCTCTAGCTGCCTTTAAAACTCTATCCTTGTCCTTGATCTTTGCCATTTTAATTATTATGTGTCTTGGTGTTGTCCTCCTTGGGTCCCTTCTGCTGGGAGTTCTGTGTGCTTCCGTGGTCTGAGCAACTATTTCCTCCCCAGTTTGGGGAAGTTTTTAGCAATTATTTCTTCAAAGACACTTTTTATCCCTTTTTCTCTCTCTTCTTTTTCTGGTACCCCTATAATGCGAATATTGTTCCATTTGGATTGGTCACACAGTTCTTTTAATATTCTTTCATTCCTAGAGATCCTTTCATCTCTCTCTGCATCAGCTTCTCTGTGTTCCTGTTCTCTGATTTCTATTCCATTAACGTCCTCTTGCACCTCATCCAATCTGCTCTTAAGTCCTTCCAGAGATTGTTTTATTTCTGTAATCTCCCTCCAGACTTCATCCCTTAGGTCCTGCATATTTCTCTGAAGATCCATCAGCATGGTTATGACGTTTATTCTGAGTTTCTTTTCAGGAAGATTGGTTAGGTCCATCTCCTTCTCAGGGGTTGACTCTGTGATATTGGTCTGTATCAAATTCTTCTGCCTCTTCATGGTGATAGAGATAGTCGTGTGGAGGAGGCGCATGTGTCGGCTGGGAGACCGTCCCTTCTTGCTCGTTGGTGGCCTTCCTCTCCTGGGAGAATGGTGACACTAGTGCCTTGTGCTTGGCAGCTGCTTATAGACAGGGTTTCTAATCCTTACCCGGCCGCTGTGAAAGAAGCTCTGCTCTGCTGCTGTGGGCGTGGCCAGCCTCAGGCAGCTGCTCCTCTATGGTGGAGCCACGTTGGAGGGGTAACTAGTGGGAGGCTGTTTATCACCATGAGGGGCCTCCGAGCTGCGCTGCTGCCCAGGGGGTTAGGGCGCCCAGAGTTCCCCAGGATTCCCAGCTGCTGGGCTAAGTGTCCTGGGACACTACCGTCCAGCTGTGGGATCCCTGTCCCTTTAAAAGTTTCAAAAAGCACTCACTTTTCTTTGTCCCAGGGGTGCCGGCTGTGGGGACCCACTCGCAGATTTTACTGTCCCATTTCCCTAGTATCCAGTACCCCACGCACTGTGTGTCTGTGCTCCCAGTGCAGATGGCTAGGGCTGGGTATTTATTAGTCCTGGGCTCCCTCTCCCTCCCTGCTCTGACTCCTCTCCTCCTGCCGGGAGCTGGGGGGAGGGGCGCTCGGTCCTGCCAGCCATGGCTTGTATCTTACCCCCTTCATGAGGCACTGGGTTCTCGTAGGTGTGGATGTAGCCTGGCTGTTGTCCTGTATCTTCTAGTCTCTCTTTTAGGGATAGTTGTATTTGCAGTATTTTCAAGAATATGTACGGTTTTGGGAGGAGATTTTCACTGCTCTACTCATGCCACCATCTTGGCTCCTCCCCCCACATCAAGTTTTTTAAAACATAATTACTTTTAATTCTTATCCAAATGCCTTTACACAGTTTTATTTTCCATGCATTTTTTAGGAAAATAAGATGAGATCACTGAACTTAAAAGAAAGCAGAGTAAAGAAAAGAAAAAAAGGGAGGGACAATACTATTATCACTGGCACAGCCTCCTTTTGGGAGGTTCTTTTGGGCCTCTATTCCTTTCACCTTGACTCATTCCTCAGAAATCCTACAAATGTATTGCCCACATCATTCCATTTTGACAACTAATGCAAGGTCCTTCTTGCTCTCAGTTGTGATTATTTTGTCTCTCAAAATAAATGTAAGCTTCTTAAGGGAGAAAACATGCCTACAGATTTATATAATCGGTGCTCAGGTGGTGTCGATAATAGAGCACTGGGCTTCAAGTTCCTAGTCTTGGCAATGATGGCTATGGTATCCTGGGGAAGGAAAGACCAAAGGCACAGACAAGGTCCAGTGAGCAGGAGTGAGGTGCTGGGCAGCATGAGGGCAATGTGGCAGACTGGCCAGGGGCTGGGCAGGTTGTGCTCAGGCCCCGGCAATGGCACTGCTGGGTCAGCACCCGTCAGGCAGGCTGAGATGTGCTCCTGGAGGGGATCATGGAGTCACAGTGGCCCAGCGAGTCGAAGGCTTGGTCAAAGAGCTCAACTGAGGGTCCATGAGCAGGAAAGGCCAAGGTCTGGCTCTGACACCAGGGGACTTGTTTTGCTTATAATGATTCATAAATGCTAAATCACCCAGATCAGCTCGGATCTCTCCTTGTTGCTGCCCTCCTGAGGTACTCTTCCAGACACCAAAGGTCAATAATTATAGGCTACTGGGGCAGATTCCAATCCCCCCTGACAGCAGTGGCAGCTCTCTGCCTGGGAGCCCTTGGTGATCATGACAGATGGTAGCATGAGGACATCTGGGGAGACTGACAGACTCTACCTCAGCCAGGTCTCCCGTGGGATGTGTGCATGCAGAAGCCAGAGGACTCCCTGGTCATTGGGATTTTATTACTCTAAGACCTAGCATGTCTGTCTTCTCTTCCTTTTCTTCCAGAGATATAATGGGGTTCAATATACTTGGCTACTGGTACTGATTATTTCTAAATAATGGTTTGACTTTTGACAAGCCACTTAAATCCATGGACCTGAGTAGCGTCATCTCTGCATTAACTGCAGGAGCAAGCTCCTCCCTATCAAAGCTAAGACTGAGGATACCAACATCTTAATCATTCTGAGGCTTTCCTTATTAACATCACATTAGCTAAGATTTTTATCCTATCTAGATGGTTAGAATGAACATACGTTTTTTCTCATCATTTGGAGATGAATGCATTTCAAGATTTGAGCATTATTTAATGCAAAAGAATACTCAACAATGAAACCATAAAAACCTTAAAAGGGGACATCTGTGTTCTGTCAACTACCCGCATTTAATTTCTCCTTCTCCATTTGGGCCACTTTAGCTTTTAGACTTGTACCTTCTTATCCATGTCCTTAACCCCTCCTCCTAAGTGCCTTGGCCAAAATTACTACTTCTAGAATTACCTACAGTTCAGGCTATAAGAACTGGGGTTGAATACAAATGAGATTCTATAATAAGGAATATTAAAGTCAGCAAAATATTTAAAAATCAATTCTTCAATTTTTGTTTAAATTTATTCAGCCCCCAAATATAAAATTCTCCCTTTAAATTCAGATGGCCAAGAAGTACTACTACTTTCTTCCTTTAAATGAAATGTTAGAGTTTGCTGTCAGCCCCAAACAAGTACAATAATTTCAAAAGTATGAACATCTCATAATGATGTAGGATAAGGTAAGGCTAAATCAGTAGATTGTTATATTCAATATTAAATATCACTACAATTTAATGGGAATGGTCAGTTTCATGAGGACCCCAGTTTTTTATTGTGACTTATTATGTAAATTTAACTTATATTTGAGTCATAAAAATAATCCAAATGAAACTATCTGAAGGGAAATTTGCTCTACCCTTGTATACAAAGATGATGTAATGGTACCAAACTAAGTACCTACCATTGCCAGCCAGAGTTATACCAGTCTTTGCATCATCATTGTGAGGGAAGTAAGTGCTACAATCTGCACCTATCCAGTGTCTGTTACACACACACTTCAGCTCATTACTGCAAACCTGAAATGCAAAATCAATTTAGGATAAACATGAACTCTCTGATACAGAGGCATGACAAATAAACATTAATTTCTAATTACTATATGCCTAGAAGTTGATGGTACTGAAGAATTACTGGTCCCCTCTCATAATACTACTTTATTTCTTACTCAAGTACCTCAAAAAATTACTTCCTAGAGATCAATGGTTGATTCAAATGGAATAATAGATTTTAACAGAGGAATGAATTTATATATCTGAAAAATAAATCAAATTATAGTTTTGAATTTCATTAACTTAAATTTTATAAAAGGTAGACTTTAAAAACTAAGCAGAAATACAATCATTTGCCAATTAACCAATACAAAGCTTTCTGGCTTCCAAAGTAAGGGTCTTTATACTAACATTTTATTCATCTTTTAGGAAGCAGATGGCATAAAGAGAAATCCAACAAAAAGGGGAGGCCTGAAGCTGGGCAGTGGTCTTGGTACCTGACCCAAGCTACCCAGGTAAGCTACTGCAGGGTCACAGGAACTGAGAACTCCTTCCAACAAAGCAGAGGAGAAGCGTTCACAAGGAATTCAAAATTATCAGACAGTAACATCTTCATTTATATATCCAGAAAACAGAATCTATACCTAGATATTGTAATTCAGAACAACTAAATGGAGTGGGAAGTAGGAGGGATTCAGTTAGGTTTAAGATCAGAGAGGTTCTTCAGGAGACAGGTTTTCACTAGATAGGTGTCTGGCTTTTGTCTGATCTAATTTACCAGAAAACAACACACATCCACATCTAAATGTAACTACAAAATATGATTACCAAATTTCAGATTTTAAATTAATTCAGATTAAGAAATTTCTGCAGATTAACAAATATGCAGGAAGAAAAACGTTTTGGGTTTAAAGTCAAAAAGCCTGGGTTTGAGTCACCATTTAGCCACTGTCTGATCCATGGACCTGTACCAGGTCAACTAGCTTCTCCAAGTGTCAGTTTCCGTATCACACAGCAGCACCAGTGATAAAGGGACAAGAACTGACACTGATCATAATGAACAGAGTCAGAGCAAACATTTACTGAACACTCACTATGTCTCAGCATTGTTTCAAGTATTACATATAAAAGTTAAAAGTATTAACTCACTGATTCTTCCCAACAACCTTTTAAAGTAGGCAATATTACTATTCCCATTTTACAGAGGAAGAAACTGAATCATAGAGGCTAGTTATACGCCCAATCTCAACCAGTTAGTAAGAAGTAGAGCTGGGATTCAAACTTGGACTGATTGCAAGTTCACATCATTAACTGTTCAATGTAATTAGATATGCAAGAATATCTACTGTATTTCCCATTTTAATATTTGTCACATGCACAGAGCTGAGTTACTGTTAAGTTAAAAATACATAGGCTATAACCTCTTTGCATTATACATAATTGTTGTAAATGATTTTAATGCTATTTGCCACCTGATTTGCCACCTGATTTATTTGTGTCTGTCACTCTTTCATTCATTTGTTAAACAAATGGTTAATTAACACAACTATGTTGGTCTCTGTGTTATATACTTAGGATTTCTAGATGAAAAATATATTGCTGTTCTTTAGCATGAATGATCAAACGATCAAGAAATAATTCCACTGTTCATTTCCCATCTCCCCCAAAAACATTTCCCCCTAACATCTTCTTACTAAGGAGAAAAGACTTGGTAGACTCCTTTATAGGAGCAGAATTGCTTACCACATGCCTTCTCTATTCTCCTGTGTCTTAGGAATTCCTATCCTTTGGCAAAGAGAAATAATTGGTAACACTGCCACCCCCAAGGAAATTCTTGCCCTATCCCTTGGGGATATACATGGAATGACGGGATTGAAGGTTTACAACTCCAGGCCAGGGATCTGTCACTTCAACTGGACAATACAACCAGTTCAAGTGAAGAATTGGAATGAAGGTAAAGAGAAAAATCATAGCTCATGCCAAAAAAAACCCCAAAAAAGTTGTTTGTGTAGGGATCCTCACTGAAAATGATAAAACTGTAATCACTAATAGAGCATGTTTATGTAACCTAAAAACTCAGTTACATAAGACCTAGTTTATCAGATATATAACTGAAAGAATAGAACTTAGACTTTTAAACAATGCCACTATTTCTATTCATCTGTGAGAAGCATTTCCCTAAATTATTCTGGTTTTATTTCTAGGAGCTATTGTCAGCTGATACACACTGGTTTGTCAACAGCATTGCCTGACCATAACAACATACAACGAAGCACCCTTTGCTAAATAGTGTGGCCGTTGCCCCTGCTTTTCGCTCCCTTTTTTAATCCCATTACAGTTTCTTAAAATTTGTCTCCTAAATCACTTGTAGAAAACCAGCATTACATCATATGAAATCACATTTCCATAATAAAAATGGAAGATGGAAAAATTTGGTTAGGAAGATGATACTTCCTCTTATTCCCAGGCTTTCACAGATGACAGGACAGAAATATTCAAATTTATATCACCACATAAAGAACTGTTACGCGACAGTTAGAAATGTGGACAAACATGTTTCCATCATTACAGAAATAAGCAGTTCAGGGTCATATCTATTTCTGTGATATAAAAGAAATGAGTAGCTCCCATGGTGAGGTACAGAATACTTACTCCATTTCCTGAACACACAGTGCCTTCTTTATTGCTTAGGCATGTACTGAAGTTGAAGGAAGCCACAGAAAGACATCTGTGCTCCAAGCACATCATTTGGGGACCACAAGGTGTCCCATCTTCCACATAGCCGAGATCTACATCTTCTTCAAGTTTAACATGCCCACCACTAAACACAAAGTGAGAGCAAAGCAGAAATGGGATTCCAGTAATTGACATTCAACTTAAGGATATGCAAAACTAAAAAGTGGGCATTATCACTTTCTTTTCTACTTATTATTAAATAAAAACCAATAGCGTATAAGTATTTTCAACCTCTAAATGCAGAAAGCACTTGAATTTTCTGATCTAATTCTTTTCAGAGATATTGATATATTTTAGGATTTAAACATAATTACTATAACAGGGGTCTGAATTGAGATGGCTTTATAGTTTTACCGGGGCTATCATGTATTAGTCAAGTAAGCCATTCTTACTAGGACTTGATATGATAGTTAAATAGGTTTCAAGAGTTCAAACATGTTTCAAACAAGGATGAGAACTGGATTTTGTTTGTTTCCCAAAAAGACTGCTATACTTACAAATTATATTTGAGAAGGGCTAAATTATAAACCTTACTATTCAATTTAGCAAGTCTACATATTATATAGGAATAAGAAGAACAGGAATTGAAAATGTATTTTCATAGTCAGTTAAATTCATATGGTGCCATGTCAGTGCTAGTACAAAAATCTCCATTAATTTTATTTATTTTTATAAAAATTATACATGCATATAGTTTAAAGAGTCAAAAAGATAAATTGCTTTTTTTAATGCAGTAAAGCCATCTACTGCCCCCTACTCCTCTGTATATTCTTCCCTGGAGTGAACCACTTTCTACTCTTAAGTGACTCTTGTTATTATGTGCACAACTTTAAATAATGAGTTTGTGTTCTTATTTTTTATTTTCCATTTTAGGTATTTATCAACTGACTTCCCTCTATGGGACTAGAATTTGTCTCTTTTCCCTATCCTTCCATGATACATTCTGTATAATCAATAAACCAAAAACAAATATGCAGACAATGATGATTATATATATGTTATTCAGTTGAGCGACATAATATGCCATAATTAAGCCCTTTCTTTTCCTGTACAATAAGTCATTTTCCCTCAGATTGGCAAATCTCTTACTTGTTTTGTGTTTCTTTGCCTACTTTTCTAAGAATTTATCACTAACCAATCCTAACCCAACTCTGCTGATGGCCAAAATCTCCACTCAAGATGTGTCTCAACATAAGTTCATCTTCTTTCCATCTGAATGTCCCCTACTCCTAGATGGTCTGGGTGTCCCCAGACCTGGTACAAAACTGTACATCTTGGTTTTACCCTCATCATTTACTAAGAGGATTGCCCTGTGGTAGGTATCTTGTTTCCTAAATTCCTTGCCTTTTTCTTTTAGTTTACTCCTTCATTTTGGAAGCACATTTCTAATAGATTCCTGACAAAGGGTATGTGGGAGAAATTTGAGAGAAACTTGCATATCTAAAAGTGTCTTTATTTTCTACCCTCACACTTCATATTTTGCCTGGGTACAGAATTCTAGTTCGGAAATCACTTTCTCCAGAGTCTCTGGCTTCCAGGGTTCCTGTTACTATATCCTAAGTCTGATCCTTTTTTTCCCCTCCTCTTTGGAAATGTTTACGATTCTTTTCTTTCCTAAGGAGTTCTGAAATTTCATAATGATATGTTTAGACATACCTCTAATTTCACTGTAACTGGTGTTTGGTTGAGCTTGTCAATACGGAAATTCAAGTCCATCAGTTCCAGATAATACTCTTGAATGACTCATTGATGATATTCTCCCTGCTGTTATCTCTGGTTTTTATAATTTCTATTCTAATGGTGAGTTTTTCTTCATGTTCCATTTCTTCACTTTTTTTGCCCTACTTTCTGGGAAATAATTCAAACTGTTCATTTCTGCCATCATGTTTTTTATTTGCACAGCACTCTTTTTTTCTCTGAATGTTCTTCATTTTTAAAAATAGCACTCTTTTCTTGTTTCATGATAGAGGTAGATTACCTCTCACAAATATTGACAGGGGGTTTTTTTTCTGGTTGCTTTTATCACTCTGTGTACATGTATGTGTGTGTTAGAGTCTTTATTCACATGTCTGATACTCTGCTCTTATTTGAGTCAGGGAATCAGATAAATGATTGGAGATTTAAGGCTTTCTGGCTGAGCACCAGTGAGGTTAGGCCCTGTCCCTACAATCTTGATGTCAATACTGCCTGCTGTCCTTTGGTGTGAAAACCTTCTGTTTCATCCTCTGCAGAATGTAAAGCTAAATCCCCCATGGAAGGTGAACAATCTCCATTTGAACTGAGGCAGAGAAGTAATCTGTGAGCAGCTTCTTCCACACACTTCCACCTAGTACTTTTAACCCCTTGCCAACCCCAAATCTTTTACTGTCTCTTCCAGAAGTAGATGATGCTGCCATTTTGAGCCTTTGAGGACTCACATATAATGGCTTACTTCTCAGTTCTCCCCATTACTGACTTAGGAATACAGCTTTCTTAGTTTTGATAATCATTTGCCACACATCCATTTGCTTTCCACATTCTAAACTTTTGTTGGTTGTCTCTTTTCTCTTTCTCTGCCTCCATGTGATATATGAATTCTAAAAAAAACCCACTTAGTGTCATTTTAGTGAGATTTCAGAAGAGAACAAAAGGAAATGCATATATTTAATCCACTGATTTTACCCAGAGGTGCTCACTCATTCTCCTTAATAAGAATGAAATGTAAACTAATTACCTGCAGTTTAAAGTTCTTCCCTGCTGCATAACTAAAGTAGATGTGATTTCACCATCAAGTTCTCCAAGCCTTGGGATGTTACCAATGTTGGTACACAAAAGGTAACCACAGAGCACATCCCTGTGTTGAAAGAGTGACAGTTATTTACATTTCTCTCCAAAGAATGAAGCAATCATGTACTGTTAGAACAATAATCTTCATCTCAATTTAGCATTTGTTTTTCATCAACTATATAATTTGCTCAAATTACAGGCAAAATAAAAGAAGCTCAAATTAGTTTGTCTCCAGCTTTAAAAGTCTTCTCTGAAAATCAGATGGGTGTACCAAAATCCTAGTTGATTTTTAGCTTTTCCTTCACTGCCCACTAATTCAATAGTTCAAAAATTTACCTAAAGGAAATTATCTACCAAATCAACTTATTTTATATAAGAATCTCTTTTCCATAACATATCACTTGATATGCTAAAACATTTTTTGATACTTGGTAAGTGAATTTTGACAAATATTCTTTTGGAATACAGCTATTTTCTCAACCTGTTGCCCCAGAATTAAAGAAGAGATTGTATACACACACACACACACACACACACACACACACACACACACACACACATTTGTTTTTGTAGATTCTCAACCTCACAGGCTCATGATCCCTTTTTTTCAATAAATTTCACTAGTCCCCCAACCATCACATATAATTCTAACTTAACTTGTAAAATATTTTTCCTGGTGTTAAATACTATCTTACATATTCTCCATATCTAACACATTTTAAGTATTAATATAGATAATGATAAACACATATTCTAACAAGTATCTTGTGAGGAGTGATTAGTAGGCCAGCAAGATTATATATGGAAATATTAGGCTTTATCAGATGGAGAAAAGAGAAAAATTAGGATTTATATCTTATCACCAACATAGAAAAAATATTAATACTTTGTTAAAAAATAATTTTTAAAAGTTGTATCATTTCATTGCATCTATCATAAACAAAAATGCTTTCTTGACACAGAAAGAAGAGATATTCAGTCAACATTTTTTGAGTGTCATTTATGTGTACTGTCATTTAAGCTCCATATATGGAGCTTACTAAGTCCTTTAGGATATATAAGAAAAAGCAGTCACAATTTTTATCTTCAAGGAAATTACACTCTGGATGAAAAGAGAAATCACACACATAAACAACTATACAACACAAAGCTGGGGACAAGGGCCAAACTATAGGACAAAGGGCCACGGGGTTCAGAGGAGAAGAGGGAGATTATTTATTTCTAGAGTAAATTCAGAAATAATTTATGAAGGGCTGTCCAAGCAGGGCTTTGAAGGGTGGATGCATTTCTGACTAGAAACTGCGTGGCTACAAAGCGTGTTTCAGGAGGAATGAGTAGCACGAGCACAGGCATGCAGGCAAGAAAATGTAATGCATGTATTAAGAGGCAAGGTTTGCTAGACTTGGGAAGAGTAGAGAACAAAAAAATGTGAGTTGGGGGCAAACTGTGAGGGAGGCGTAGTGCCAAGCTAAGGTTCCATTTTGCTGGTTAAAAAAAAATGGTATGGCATTCAACAAAGTGGCTAAGAAAGAGTTCTGAAATCAACTGCCTGAATTCTATTTCTGATTCTATCACATCCTAGCTATACGACCTTGGTCAAATTAACTAACTATGCCTTAGTTTCCTCGTCCATAAAATGGGTAGAATTGCTATAAAGATTAAATCACAAAGCTTATGTAAAGTGTAACAGTGCTCAGCACACGGTGTGTACACTCAATAAATGTGCACTAAATAAAATTAATCCTGCTATTAATTAACTATGCGGAACCAGTGAAATTTGAACAAAGAATTGAAATAGTCAAAAAATTCAGTAGAAGATTATCATGATAGCATCATGCTCGAGACTGTTGGCATAAAAACCTGCTAAGAGGCCTTTGAAATAGTTGAAGAATTAGTATAGATCTTAGTTGGAGCAAATGGTTAGGGAATAAAAGGAAAGAATGGACATGATTTCGTGTTTGGACAATGTGTCAGAGGGAAGGTAGAGTCAAGGATCATTTGGAGGCTTCTAAACAGAACAGACAGCAAGGCCTTTGGCAAAAGTGGTAGCTTAGAAAATTCATTGAGTACACATTCTGCTGGCTTTCATTTTTGTTGCTTGTGAGATGCTGACAGGTGTTTTACAGGTGAGAAAGTCCTGAGGCTACTGCAAGCATGACCTGGTCTTAGGAGAGAGGTCAGTACACATGTTAAATTTGAGTACTGTCCACAAAGGTGATGCTGGAATGCTGGGAAGAAGTGAGGTGAGAAGGCAATAGATGCTTTGCAGGGCACGGGAAACTCCTGGCAGCTCAAAGAGCAATGCCTTTAAGAACCTAAGGGCTATACTCTAGGCTAAGTTCTCCATCTCACCGTTTGTTGCACTGTATCCATGTATCCTTGTCTTTCCCACAGTTACCTTTCTCCGTCCCTTCGATATTCAGTTTTTCATAGCAGTATTTGTCCGATGCCATCACCTCTGAAGTAGAATAGAGTTTTCTATCAGGGTTGGATAGAACAGGTGAGTTGCTCAAAATGTTTGCAGTAAAGGAAAATAGCCAGGTAAGGACTCTCCTTTACTACAATGTTACCACTTCCAAAACTGGTATCCTGTTTCACAGTTTCCTTCTCCATGTACATCCATGGCTTAGGTGTATTTTTCATGACTGCTCATTGGAAATTTGGAAAACAAATCTATTTAGACCTTTGACAGGATTAAGGCTATAGGTTCCAAGAACAACACTCCTTAGAATTTGGCCAAAATTTAAGGGAAGATGCGACCAAATGATTTCTTGAATAAATACTGCACACTTCAATCCGTGCCAAATATAAAGCACAAATCTCTCACTTTATTAATCATAAAGACAAGTTCATTAAAATAGTTATGCTCTATAAAGATTCAAGAAAGTCGTACAATTTCAACCTTGTTTACTTATTCTTAATAGCTATTCAGAAAAACCTTAATTTTATTCTTCTTTTAGACAAACTTGAATTCATGCTAAATCTCTGAGAGTCAAATAACATACCAAGTTATGTCATCATCTTTATCAGGATTATATTTTTGCTAAAGCTAGAGTGGGTTGATGGGAGTCATTTGATCTAAGAGATAAAAATGACTTTTGCAAACTAATCAAAAGATGACTGCTTTGTGTGTGTGTGTGTGTGTGTGTTTTAACTAATTATGTTGGTAGTTTCTGTTCCTACTTCTTGCTGTCAGGTATTATTTTTTTCTCAAGTGTAGGAAACAAAAATTGCATCTCTTTTTTCAGAAAACAAACCTGCATGACTCAATTTTCCCCCATCCCAATCATTCTGTACTTGCTCAAGAGAGCATACACTTCCATGGATAAAAGGATTAAGTTGTTGAAAATTTACTTCTAGCCCATGTGTCCTTCAGTCTGATAACACACTTTGAGAACAGTCAAGCCACACTATTTACTTACTTTGCCCCCAGATGTACTTGCATTGTCTATCCCTCGTTTTACATCTTCCTCCAAAACAAATTCCCTAGAATGGAAAGCATGCCCATTAGTGATGCAAGATCTGCTTAAGGCAGGACACTGAAAAGTTAACAACTGAGAAAACTAACCCACAAATATTATAAAGGCCTTTTACCTTCAGAATTGATTATAAAACATTTAAATTGATTTCCCTGTTTTGATAACATTTCAGCACTTCTTTCATGCTCTACACATGAAAAATTTAGATAAAGCTGAAATAACCTACCTGAACACCATCACAGGAATATCCATCCATTTTATGAATATTTGGGGCACACTAAGAAAAGAAAACAGAACTATGAACCAAATGTACAACAACATAGCAGGCAGGCCTGATCCCTTTCATGTTTTCATTTTACAGATAAAGTCTGATAATATGGCTGGTGTCTCAAATAATCTGAAAACAAAAACACAAAGATCAAGAGAGAGCAAAAGGAAACACAAGAACCTGTGCACTTTCTCCCAAAGATCTGGATCTAACCGAGGCAAAAACTGTTGGTAACAAAGTAGCAGAGAAAAAGGACAGACAGCGATGACGATGACGCAGCTAACGCTAACACTGAAGAGCTCCCTGCTCTATGTAGATAGGCTATTCCTCAGAGCAAGAAAAACAAGAGCACACAACAAAGTGAGGGGGATGCCAACATAAATGGAACAGTAAAGAGTTTCCTCTTTTTTTTTATCATGGGAAGCACCACAGTCTTGATACCTAAAATGACTCTTCAGCAGAAGCCTACTTGGAGTATGTTAGAAAAAGCTGTGCCTCATAGCCCCTTTGTTTTTCCCTATAGCAACTACAGAAAATTATACAGATATAAACGAACCACAATTTTTTCATGTATTATACATTTTTTCTATCGTGATAGTAATTATATCTTCATTTGAGAAGTTAGAAAATGTAAGCATAAAAAAAAAATGAAAGATAAAAATCACTCGCATTTCCACCACCCATGACAATTTACTTTTTATAGTTTGATGGATATTTTCCCTACCTTTTTCTACAGAATTTGGTATTTTAAACATAGCTTTAAATAAATTATAAGTAATATTTCATATTCTGCTTCTTCCCTTTACTTTCATCATATGAATTTCCTCATGTCATAAGAAATTTTTTCTAAGCATCATCTGTAATAGCTATAAAACACTGCACTGAGCCAGCAAACCATGTAACCAATGTACTAAAATAGTCACTTATACTTACCTCCAATTTATACTGTTACAACCAATGTAGTAAGCGCATCTTCGTATGTATATTATTTTTGAATTCAGGATTCTTTTAAGATTCCTTCTTATTGTGTAATCTTATAACCAAAGATGTTGTTTTAAAATACTTTCCCTCCAGGAGCCGGTGAGGTAATCATTCATTGTATCTTTATCATCAAGTGTTAGCTTAGAAAAACAATGCTAACTAGGTAATAAGAAAGCAAAATGCTTTTATATGAAAGGTCTCTTAGGATGAGCATCTTCAAAGTAAAACCTTTTTGATCGTTAATGTAGGTATGCCACTACTGAATCCCTCTTCTCAGGAGGAAAGAATATGCAGGCAGTCCTCACTTTGCCGGGCTCCAAAATGTATGAATTTCAGTTATCATATTTTGTTAAAAGATATCAGTAACCCAACAACAGAGTTCCAGTTTCAGTTACCACTATAAAGTAACCATAAATGCATGAAGCCCAAACTTGGCTACTAGCTCTTCAGTGCACCCAGCACTGGGTAACTGACAGATGACCATCATGGTCAACGACCCGTCTTGCCACTGCTTTCAAAGTATGTCAGTGGTCACTGTCCATCTATCTGTTCATTTCGTTCATGCAAAGACAATAAAGTCTGCGGTTGTGTTGTCTCCCTTTCTCTAGGTGACAGCACATGACATTTCACAAAATTGTACAATCAAAAGAGGGAATTGGTCAGCACAGATGAAAATGCAGCAAAGAAATGAAAAGTGATGACGGAGGAAGTTCAAATCAAATGTCAACAAAGTTCCTGGCAAAAATCACTGACTGCTGCTTGGCAAAAAAACACATTCACAACTCCACGTCTCTTGGAGATGTCTCATGACATTGAAAGCACAAAGACTAAAATATCAAAAGCTGATCTGAACTTAGAAAGGAATATAACAACCCAACAAAACAAAAAAGATGCTCACTATGGGCCCTAAGGTTTATGATAAAGAGAAGGCATGCACAGTTCAAACGACTCCTCATAAGTATTTCACAAAGAAACAAAATCTTTAGTTCTCAATGTTTGTTTTAATTTAGTGTGCTAAATAAATATTAGGGTTTTTTTATTTCCTTTTTCATATAAAACAAATCGTAAGAGTTTTTCATAGTTTGGTAACATTTTTTAAAGATCACAGAACAACTGTCATTTTTTCCACTGGTTGGTAAGATGACTACACGTTTTCAGCCTGCATGGTAATTTCTGCGGTCCTGCCCTACTGTGCAAATCGAGGACTGCCTGTATATTCACCAACCTTGTGAAATCTGTGAGCCTCTCTGAAGTTTATCAACTTCCCTATATTCTCTGTTTACAACTAGATGATATTAAATCCAAGAGCAGGTAGTCATGGCTGAGGTGATACCGGCTGTCTTAGATAAACAGGAGTCAAGACAGAGAAACAGACCCTTTCTCAGAACCCAGTGCTCTGTGGGACCCCTCTGCCTTGGCTGACTCCTGGTTCAGCCAGCTGAGGAGAGAGAGTCGTTCTCTTTCCTCCTTCATGAGACAAACAGCAGTGACTACAACAGGGTATGGGGGGGACTTGATAACATGGGCGAATGTTGTAATCACAGTGTTGCTGATGTGAAACTTTCATAAGACTGTATGTCAATGATACTTTAATAAAAATAAATAAATAAAAATAAAACAAAAATGAAATAGTTAAGGCATGCCTGCAGTCTTAGGTTAGTTCAACATTAAGACAAAATTATGCTGGACATTTGCTCAAACTTTGATTAAATTCCTGAGAAGTGAATAAAAATAGAGGCAGAGTTGATGTGAAAGATAATCAGAAGCATCCTGTCCTTTTACATTTCTTTGGGGGTTCAGGGCACAACAGAGCTGCCCCAGCTTTTTCCTCTGGGGTTTAGAGTAGTTGTTCTGTGAATTACCTGGCTTGAATTTCCTGAGCATGTTTCACGAATATCACAATCATTTACTGCTTCCCGGCACACGGTCCCCATCGGCTGAAACTAAAATGAATAAAACTCAATGTGTAAAACTGTTGAAGAAAAAAAACCTCACAGTACCTTCATTAAAAAAAGGAAAAATGAGAATTTTGAGGACAGGAATATCAACCTATTTTAAGAGGGTAGTCTGTGAAAACCACAGTCACTGTGGTTAAAGTTTTCAGAGTTTCTCAAGTATGAAGGAATTTGCATAGTTACCACACAGAAGCCTTATGCAATCTCACTAAAACAAGAGATTACTTGGTGGTATTGGCAGTACAGCTCCACCAGGAGGACAAGCCAGTCCAAGTTCTAGGAATCCTTTCTTCCAAATAGCTTTGGATTCACACTTTTCCCCTCAGTCTGTGGGCACCTTCATCAATTACTTTTTTTTGCCTGCTCTGCCAAGAGTTTGAAAGCTACACGTTGGGCTGAGTTGCAAAAGTGAAATTTTCTAGCAAAGAGATTTCTTCCTGTGCTTTCCTTTCTCTTCTTTCCTGCCTCATTTTCACACAGATCTATAGCTCGGTCTTTTATTCTTTTTTTAATGTTTAATGTTTCTCTTATTTGTACCTACATATGGGAGTTTCTGTGCATTTTTTCAGCCACCATAAATACTTCTTACACATATGGGAGGTACACATAAATCTTTCAGCTCACTGGATTTATAAATTGCAAGAGTATTCACTATAACAAAACAGAGATTAAAGTTATCATCCCCCCCACCCGCTCCACTTCAAAAGGCTAGTGTTTGGAGCTGGATCCTTCTATGATTTTATGACTGATAGCACAAACATCCACATTATTTGGGGACCCTCCCCCTCGCCCCGCCAACTTTGATCTTCTCTCCCTTGCTCACAACTCTCCAGGCACTTGAGTTTCCTGTTGTTCCTACAACATGAACAGCACACTGTCAACTCCAGGCAAGAGCTCAGCATATCTTTTGGAAGATCCATACAAAATTTGTGTTCACTTGTTCATTCATCAGGTATTTGCTGGGCACTTAAAATGTATCAGGTCCTTTCTAGCCACAGAGGACTCAATGGAGAATAAGACACAAGAATCCTGCTCAAAAGGAACTTATATGTTAGTAAGGGCCACAAAAATCAAGAAATCAGCAAGATCATTTAATTTCATATACTCTGGTTCTCTTCCTCCTTGGGATTGGGGTAAACCACAATTTTAGAACATTGAGGTAGAAATATGAGCAGATTTAAGGCAGAGCTTATATTGAAAGTATAAATGTTCAAGAACCACCAAGAAACTTCTGAAAGAAAACAGAGTGAAGGAGGGCTTGCTTTAAGTGCTGGGATACAGCAGTAAATAAATCAACCCAAATTCCTGTCCTCTTAGAACTTATGAACTAATGGGAGGAGAAAAATAATAAGTAAATAAGCAATATTTTACAGAAGGGGTCTGAAAATATGGTCATGAGAGCAAAATCTGGTGTGCTGCCTGTTCTTTTAAAGTTTTATTGGAACACAGCCACGGCCATTCGTTTCTGTAGTTTTGATGGCTGCTTTCAAAGGCAGAGTTGAGTAACAGACAAGAGACCTTAAGACCTACAAATTTTAAACTATTTACTATCTGGCCTTTTACAAAAATATGTTTTCCAACTCTAACTTAAGAGACACTTTATTATAAATACATATGGAAAAAACAGAGATAGATACACAGGCTTTCTTACCTTCTTCTTCTATTGCCCCTTTTGCATTGACCATCTGCCTGTGGCTCCTCCAGGAGCCCAGGGTAGGGGTTAGAATGGGGAATGTAGGGTAGAGAAAGTGGCAAAAAAGGTCTTACTTGACTGTTACAACTGTAACTTATTTTGTAGCAGAGCTAATTATACCATTTTACTGCATGTATTTTAATTCTATGATTTTGTACTTGTTCTTTGAAATGATGAGATCACAAAAAGCCTAATTCTATACATCAAAGAAAAAGAGGCACAATTAAATGCATTTTATGGGTGGGCAGTCTTAAAACATGAGGGTTAAAATAAATGATTGGGGATCCCTTGTTATGGCAGTTGGAGAAGCTGACAGAGTAAATCATAGTAGCCAGAATGAAAGAACGTCTGTTTCACATTTCATTTAATCTTCCTTTTTTTGGAGAGCACTCCAGAGATCTCTGCCAGTATCTTGCTTGTCTTAGAAAACTGCTGGAGACATAGTGGTAAAGTGGAAACAGCAGAAATTGCTGCCAGCAGCTCTGTGATGTAACTGCACATCTCTTCCTCACTGGCTGAAAGAGCCTATGCAGGTTATTGCACTTTCTTGAGGCTGGGCTTGCTCCATTGGAAAGATCAGTATAACTCAGTAGTCCCCTGCTTATCCATAGGGGATATGTTCCAAGACCCTCAATGGTTACCTAAAACCACAGACAGTACCAAACCCTACACACATATACTTTATTTTTTTCCTATACATACATATCTATGAAAAGGCTTAATTTATAAATTGGGCACAGTATGAGATTAACAATAATTAATAATCAAATAGAACAATTATAACAGTATCCTATAATAAAAGTTATATGAATGTGGTCTCTGTCTCAAAGTATCTTATTGTACTGTACTCACCCTTCTTGTGTTGAGTGAGATGACAAAATGCCTACTTGAGATGAAGTGAGGGGATGACCTGGGCACTGTGACGTAGCATCAGGCTATTACTGACATCTTAATAATATGTCAGAAGAAGGATCATTTACTTCTGATCCACAGTTGACCATGGGTAACTGACACCATGGAAGGTTGAAACTGTGGATAAGGGGGGCCTCCTGTAATGCCTATCCCAGAAGCATAGCTGTAAGCATTATCTAAGACAGTGGCCTCAGCAAGTATGCTTTTGCCCCCACAGGGACATTTGGCAATGTCTGGAGGCATTTTTGCTGGTCATTATTGGAAGGGGTGATGCATGCACCTAATAGGCAGAAGTCAGGGGAGATGCTAAGTGTCTTACAATACACAAGACACAGCCTCACAACAAAGAATTATCCAGCAAAAAAATGTCAATAGTACCAGGGTTGAGAAATCAGGTATAAAATGATATAAATTCAAAGTGTTTGGCACAGTCTATGTATGACACATACTGGATAATTAATATCATAGGTTCCTATCCAACTCTCCCTTAACTTCTTAGACTAGTTAGTCAGTCAGCTAATAATCAATAAAAGAGTGCCATCTATTTATTCATTCAGTCAACAAATATGTACTAAGGACCTGTACCGATGACTGTGTAAATCCTGGCTCTGCCTCCATAAAATGCACAGAGTGGAAGAGACTGATAATAAACCTCAGAAATAGTATAGAATTTTTTACCAGATTTTATATAAGAGAAAAAAGAAATAGATTTCTTTGAAAAAGATAAGCCTCAAATAACTGTTAGTCTTGATGTAAAGGCTTAAATATTTGGAGACAGATTTTGGGAGGAAGAAGACAGAGAACATATAGAAGGATGCCTTCTAAACTCTCCTGTACTACAACATATGCTAGGTGTTGTCATGTCTAAACAGTATAGCCTTTGCTCCCTCAACAGCTAATGCAAAAGATACACCAAGCTGAGCAGCAAGAAAGAACAATCAATTGAATATACACTTGGCTTTACAAAGAAAGGAAAAACATCGTTAGCATCACCTGGTTTCCTCTATTATGCATGCTCCCCAGGAAGGCAGTAGTGAGAGGACAACTCGGGAGAGTAATGAGGTTCAGGAACCATCTCCCTGACTAGCTGGCATAAGACCCTGGGCAAGCTGTTTAACCACTTCATGCCTCAGTGTCTTCATCCGTTAAATGGGATTAAAAATAGGAATAGGAACTATACCTCACAAGATTTTGTGAGGATCCTTGTAAAAGAGCTGGCACTTAATCACTTAAGTATTAAGTATTATAGATATCACTATTGTTATTAGATTATATTTACTTAGCCTTAACAATTTAACCAAATACATCCTCTTTTCTGTCCACTGGTCATTACTCAATATTTATTTACCTTGCACTTTTTACAGCAAAGACCATCACTGCATTGAGAATCTTGAGTCAAAGTGCACTTCTTACAACACTCTGCTCCTTCAAGAACACATTCCTAAGGAATACAAACATTTGTAGAACATCAAAAAATGGAGTCATTTTCCTGAAGGTACCAGGATATTTTCTCAAATAAAAGTATAACCTCACAAGAACAATCTTCCACAAATTCTATAAAATTTCTAGATGTAACACTTGCTCTGTCTCTATGTGCGGACCTGGAATGACTCTGAATAACCTAAAAGAAACCATCATCAAAGCACCCAGGGACTTACTGCCGGGGTCCCACAGTCACACTCCTCTCCAGTTTCAATGAAGCCATTGCCACACTCAGGAGGATCGAGAAGCTGTGGGATGAAAACCAAAAAGGGACTGAAATATAGAAAAAGCAACATCAAAGACTTTGTAAGAGACTGTAAGTGCCCCATCTATCCATCTGGCGTACCTGTCGGTCATGTCAAAGCACTCTATCTTTATTTTCCTAACTTGAAAGCATGACTTTAGAACTTTAGAACTGGAACCTTTAGAACAGAAGTGTCTACTTCTGTGTCCATTTCAGATTTAATCATATTTACGTATGTAGCACACATTTCAAGTAAAGTCTGGTAAATGCCAC